TGAGAGACATTTTGATTTTACAGTGGTGGGTGAACCGTTTGAGCTCTGCATTTTCCTTGATATAATTCCCCCTTCTGTAGAATCTTGTGCACAAGAATTGGCTATAACCAGCTCTGGAGCCCTAGAAAACCTGGCATGCCTTGGAACCTTTTCATTTATAAAACTACTTACATGTAGAGGTGCCCCAACCAAGTGGGGTGCCTGACGGGGGTCATTCTCCATAACTTTCCTCATTTTTAAAGGATTTTTTTTTCCATTTTTCTTTCAGAGAAGCAGCCAAACTGTAGTCTAGGGTTAGATGTCATGGATCTCAGTGTGCTGATTATGGGTGAGGCTAATCAATGTGTCACCACTAATTTGGTCCCACCCTCTTACATGTCTCAGTTTCCCTCTTTGGGAGTCTAGCACCTAAGAGAGGGTTCAAAATGCAGAGTGATCAGCTCTTATAGGTGTTTCCTGGATGAGCCTTCTTTTAATTAATTGATTTGGGGTTCTCTATAGGGCCATTCACTCCTAAGGGAATCACCCCAGGCAACTCCCACTCAGGACCCTGGTCAGGCAGGCCTGCCTTTTTGCTGGGAGGAGTAAAACGCCCCTTGTCTTTGGAGGTGTGAAAGTCAGTCTCTATCTACAAACAAGACAGTTCAATTTCCTCTTTCACAAATGTACAGAAAAGCCACTTGAGATTAATTTTAGGATAAAAAGACAATGGAAAGGACCCTTTAGAATGCACTGCCAAATCTTAAATTGGAATCCCAAACAATTCCTAGGAATAGAACCAGCTGAGAGGAAACCAAGACCATCAACCAAAAACAGGAGGTCTGGAGCTCAGGAGGACTTACCAGTTCTATCAAAGAGGAAGCTCAGAGTCAAAGGGCTCAAAAGGGCCATGCCAGTACCTGGTGCAGAGTTTGGGCTACTCCTTCAGCTGTTCTGAGTCTTCTCTGAAGCCCACACCTGGGCACCAATCTTGTCAGTGGAAAAGAAGCCAAACTCTGTAAAATATTTTTAAAGAGATTTATTCTGAGCCAAATTTGAGGACCATGACCTGGACCCATACCCAAGAAATCTTGAGCAAGTGGACTCACTGTGATTGGGTTATAGTTTGGTTTTATACACTTCAGGGATATTGAGGTTACAGGTAAAGTCATAAATCAATACATGGAGGCACACATTGGTTTGACCCTAAAAGGTGGGCCATCTCAAAGCAGGGAGGCTTACAGGTTACAGATGGTTTCAAAGATTCTTTGACTTGTAATTAGTTAAAATCTGCAGGTTTGTCTAAAGGATTGGAAGATTTTAAGATAAGGAAGTCTGTTAATCAGAGACAAGCCACTGGACATATATTTATTGTGGAAATTAGGGACCTGAAGGTGTGTCTTGCATACCCTTAGGCCTGTTAATGGGTTATACAGGATGTCTCTAAGGAGGGGAGGGGTCATGATTTGAAGCATGTGTGACCTCCCCACTTGTGGCAGGCAATTTAGTTTTAGGATACCCCCTTGGCCAAGAGGGGGTCCATTACATTAGCCAGAGGGAGAGGGAGTCTTAAGATTTCATTTTAGTTCACAGCAGTTTTGCAGTGATCACTGAATTTTTAGCCTTAAAAGATACAGGATCTGTGTGCCTGTGGGACCAAGTGCACTTTTCGTGGATGCCACTGTCTCCAATGTCAGCATATAGACAGTGATTACTAAGGGAGGGAGGAAAAACTGCAAATTAAACCCTTGCTCCCTAACAAAGCAATGTGAAAAAGAAAATAGAAGCCACCTGAAAAATGAGAAGTGTCCAAAACAAAGCCACAGGGGTGGGGGGGAGAAAAAAACACTATGAAGTTGTCTCATACACATTTGATCCAAATTTTATGACCATTTGTAATAAATTTCTAAGGCTTCATTGTACCCTTTAACTTCAGTTACTAAACCTATTAAAGAAGTCACCTTACTGTTGACCAGTTTGAAGGAAGAGTGGAGACTCTTGATGTTGATAAGAGAAAGAAAAAGGAGTCACCTCAGGAGAGGAGAGTGTGCTGAGTAAACACCTGGAGCCTAATGGTAACAAGTGGTGATACACTGTAACTTGCCTTAACCCATTCAAAGATTCATCAAACCAGAACATAATGTATTCATGTAATTAATGAATATAACTTTTCTCTTTTAAAAGCCTAGAAAGTTTTCTTTTGACTTGTGGGGGGAGGGGGGAATGGGCATTTATTGAAACCTTAAAATCTGTACCCCCATAATATGCCGAAATTAAAAAAAAAAAAGAATAGAAATCAATGACATCTTATTATTCACCCATTTAGGTCTGCCTCTTAGCTATTGTTCTCCAGTGGCTTCTGCTTTCTGCAACATGATAAAGGAAATCATTATAGTTTTCTACCCGACATTATTTATAAGTGCTGCATTACAGGACACATTTCAGTTAAGAATGTTCTGGTTTGCAGTTGTGGTATCTAGATTATCTTAACAACTTCTTTCTCCTCTAAGGCTCATCTTCTGCATTTTTTAGTAAATTCTTCTTTGCTTCTTTTTTCACTGCATGATGTAAAGATGTATGTATACAACCCCTTGCCCTAAAAGAGTCCCCTGGAGAGAACTGATCTGAAATGCATGAAAATGCTATTTAGAAAGCTATTTTGCTTTTATTTCTATCCATAATAAAAAAAATTATCACCTCTCATAATTACATAAATTAGTGTTTTAGGAAATCAATGTTTTTCAAATGATCAAGATTTTCTTTACATTTCACACTAATGGTACAAAAATTAATGTTGATATATTGCTTTTCACTTTACAAAGCACTTGAAACCTATATTGGCAGCCAAAAGCTAGTCTAAATGTAAAAAGGAATACATTAGCATTCTATTAATAATTCCAAATAAAAATCATTTGTACACTTTTACTTGGTCAATTTCCTGTTTCTTGCCAAAAACAATCACCTGTCAATCAGTTGAACTATGGCAGAGGGAAAAAAAGCTAGAAGAAATCATCAGTACTCCTTCAAGAGCTAGAAATTATGAGTGTCTAAAAATATTATAATTAATTTAAAATATACATTATTAACTATAATTCCACAGTCAACACAGACCTGACATGAATGTATTTCAAATTATCTTGAGAATTTGTTCCATTGCTTTACTTGACAGATTTTTCTGGTACCATAGTTGTTTTTCCCTTTTGAATCAAAGTTTAATATCATCTATCAAGTATTAATAATTAGCTTCTCTCATTTTGTCACCTCTGCTCAATTCCCTCAACAAAGCAAAAACACATGAACAGCCCCGCCATATATGCCTTCTAGGAAAACGTGTTTATACTTTTCGGGATAAAGAAAACTTAGTTCATATTGTTCTGTGTGTGAGAATCTTCCCAAGGCTACATCAACACAAAGTAATCTGAGCCAGTATAACTTGCTTTGCCTTTTACTATTGTTATCTGTGTTAGCAGTCAGTGAGTACTTGGTACAGGGACACGACGATGACATGTTTTAAGTGTCTACATGCAAAATGAAACTTTCCTCATTCTCTCTTATATCTGCTTAGTAAAAAATAGGTGGATATAGATGATAGTGGATAGACAGGTAGATAATAGGTACAGTAAGCCACAAGATTTCTCACCAAATAACATCTTCCTAATTTGGCATTACTGTGTAACAGGTCACATGAATTAACCCAAAGTCTATAAGGCTGTAATGGTAGCTCACAATTTTTGAGCATTAGAAAGAGCCCAGGCATTGGGCTAAGTCAGTCGTGTGTTACTTTAATCGTCACAGCACTGTTATAAAGTGGGTATAGCTACTTTTCTTGTTTTGCAAGTGAACAACTAAGTTTTACAGATGTTACATATATAACTCACCTGAAGTCACACACCAGAATGAAGACCATAATGCCTATGTTAGAGGATTAAAAGAGTTAATATATATGTAAATTGGCTGACAAAAGCTGTGGCATTTAGAAAGTGGTCCATTATAATTTCTTCTCTCTCCCCTTATTTTAAAATGCTACGCTTAGAAAGAATACCTACCACTTCTGTAAGTTTCCTCAGTTATTTTCCAAACATTATCTTACTGAGGTGAGGCAGCTATTACTTCCTTTGTTTCAGAAACAAGAGATGAAGCAACCTGCTCAGGTTCATGGGTAGTACAACTGAGATCCAATCTGTAAGGGGTCTGTTCTTCAGGGAGCTATTCCCATACAGAATAAAATTGCCATGGGAAAATTTAAATACAACAGATAACCCTATCAAGATACTCAGAAGTAAATCTTTGCCAATTTTCCTATAAACACATGGATAAGAGCAGAGGTTGGGAACCAGAAAAATATTTCAATTCTGACTTCAGGGAAAAATTTAAATGTCTACTAATTTGCTATTATAACTATTCTCACTATGTTGCAGATGTACTGTGATGAATGTGATGAATGATGGATACAGCCAGAACTCTCCTATTCCAAATCAATCATGTATCTGTAGAAACAATGAGCTACACAAATATTTGGATGTCATGGTTCCTGTTTTGTTTTCATCCATTTTCATATTTTTAAAGACTTAGACTTGCTGAACCTAACAATCTATAGAGCCCAATATCCAAAGTGTAGAAAGTCACATTTTATTGGTTTCAATTGCTTTTTACAAAAGTATAAACAGCATAAATCAGTGTCCGCTGCCATCAAAATCAACTGGCCTAATCAATCAGACTAAGCCTTGAGAAAATTCTCATTTTGCCTTTTTGATAATCCCATTCTATAGGTTTCCTGATTTTAAGTACAAGACTTTTAGTTTTGGAAAATGTTACAATTTGCTATGACAATAAATTTTTCAACAGGAAGCATAAGTAAATCCCATCATCCATTGTAGTTCTTTCTTATTTTACTCAAGGAAGCCCTATTGTAAACTTCTATGTTTTCTACTTCTACTATTTTACCCATGCTTCTCTTCACATATAGAAACACTAAATTAAAACCAAATCCAAAAAAAGTTATCATTTTCAAAATTTAAGATTCTCCTCCTCCAAATCTTCCCTTTGCCTCTTTTGTGATCAGAAAAATCGATAGCAATGATTTCACAGGGATTTCCTTCTGAAAAAACTTATTACCCTTCACAAAAGAGAATGTTCACACTACTTCTCACTCAATCAAAGAGAATAGGCCTTTTACAATTGTTCAATGTATTAAAGCAATATAAAATAAAGCAATAAACTAAAATATAGTCAGTTCTCCACTCACTTTTTTCTCCTGGTTGGCACAACAAGGATTCATAACTAGAAACTTCAGAATCTAGGGCAGGGCAATTCAGTTTCTACCTTGTGTCTTCTGCTCTGCAAACTGCAGAAAGTCAACTAACAAGACAAGCCAGGTTTGAATGATCCTTCAACATCCATCTATTCACAGGAAACACCTGAGAGGCAATAGAATACAAATCTGGAATGTTCTATGTCCTTAACAAAATGATCTATTGATACCTTGAGGTAAAAATGAGTTGGGTACGTAGGTCAGCCAACCTAATGAGGAGCTTTCAAGTCCAGAAGAGCTCAGAAGGATGAAAGCTTCCAGAGAATTGGAACTGTGGGTTCCTAGAAATTAAGTTACTTCACAAAATAATTCAAATGTATTTGAATCTTCCATATTTGGATTGTAGTGTGTGATGACATAAGAAAAAATTTTCTAAAAAGTCATTGCTGAAGGGGTGAGAGCCAGGGTTGGATTTTAGGGGCGGCAGCACTGGGTGACCACTCACTGGGCTGTTAAGCAGACAGAAAACTCAACTGGGGAAGAAAGGGGACCGGGTGGGGGCAGAGGGGTCCTCTTGTCTCCAGGGCTCCAGGCCCTGCTTTACCTCACTCTACTGTGGCTCAGATGCCTCTGAAGGCCTCAGGCTGCTTCTTGCCGGCTCCCACCCGGAGCTGTGAGTCCACACCTGGCCGACTTCCCACTCTGTTTTGTCAGGATCCGGGGAGCTCTGGATCTTCTTGCTCTCCACTGTAAAGGCAAAGACACATTTAAAGGGGACTCTCAGGTATTTTGAAATGTGCAGTACATTCTCACTGATGCTTGCCACCCTGCTGTGCAACAGATGTCAGGGCTTCTTCCTCCTGTCTGTCTGAAACTGTGTCCTGTGACCAAATACCCATGCCCTCCCTCTGCCGTCCCCCAGCCTCTCATCACATCAAGCTACTGTACTTCTATGTGGTCATCTTTGCAGATTCAACATGTAAGTGATATCATGCTGCATTTGCCTTTCTGAGGTGATGGACATGTTAATTATCTTGATGCCACCATTCCACATAGTGCACATGTATATAAACTTCACATTGTACCCTATACATGTATACAACTATGACTTGTCTATTAAAACTAGTATCGGTAAAACCATAACAAATAAGATGTAGGAAGCATGACTGGACCGCCCACATACTTGATTTTGCTGCTTCAGCTGTCCACATTCCTTGGCACTACCTTGTTTAGCCTTGTGTGGCAGATCATTTGGGCTGGCAGGATACAGCAAATTCTTAAGAGAAACTTGTCAGATTTCCCAGCCAGCCTCGTCTGGCCCTGGTTCTCTTCAGAGGAAGAGGTTTAGGTTGTCCTGTCTGGCTGCCCAGCCTGGCGACAGGTGGCTTCCCCGGATGTTTCCTGGGGAGAGGTGTCCCCTCCTTGCTCTTCCCCATGGAAGCTGATGCTGTGGGTGGAAGAGAAGGCCCTGGGGACATGTTGGGGGGCTGTGCTTTGATGGGACTTGTGCGCAGGCTGTGCAGAGGACTGGCTGTCACTGTGGCTTTCCTGGTCTCCTCTGGCATCTCTTGCCCATTGATCCAAATGCCCCTCATAATTTGAAGGAAGGTGGGCCTCTCTCTGGAGTCAAGGGTCAGAAACTGTTTCAGAAATGCTTTCAGCTCCTTCTAGAGGAAAACAGGTGTCTCCACCTTGCATGTGTGATGTTGCTTTTAAGATCCCCCCAGTGCTCTCCATCAAATGGCAGAGTCTTGGCTGTCATGGTGTAGAGCACAACCCCCAAGCTCCACATGTCCACCTCTGCTTCCATAGAGTCCTTATTCAGGAACTTCTGGGGCACAAAAACAGGGAGTTCCACAAAAGCTTCCCAGCTTGATCCCTTCACTAAAAGTCATGGCAAAGCCAAAGGAGCTAGTTTGATATTGTCATTGTCATCAAGTAGGATTTGGGGCTTTAGGTCCCTGTGGATAATCTGGTTCTCATGGCACTACTGCATGGCAGCCAGGATCTGTCACAATTTGGTCCAAGCCTCCTTCTCCTCCCTGTGGTCATGTCTCAGTATATGCTGGAAAAGGTCTGAACCACTGGCATATTCTGTTATTAGAGGGTGTCTTCAGTCTCAATGACATCCAACAGCTTAAGGATGTTTGGATGAATCAGGTTCCTCCTGGCTTTGACCTCCATATCGACGCTTTCCAGACCATGGAGGCTCTGATTGGACACGATTTGGGTGGCTACCTGGGTCCCAGTAGGAAGGTGCCAGGCCAGCATCACCTTGATGAAGCTACATCAGCTAATTTTCTTCAGGAGCTTATAATTGTTCAGTATCTCAGTGTACAAATTGGAGGCCACACCATGCTGCTTGGTCACCTCTATCTATGCTAACTCTACAGTAGTTATGCTAAGTAAGTAATGAACAATACCAAGTACACTACCTAGGCTAGGAATACTAACAATACTAGGTATATGAACCAGGCTAACAATACCATTGATACTAACTATGCTCACAATACTAAGTATGCTGTGCTAACACTAGTGTCAGACAATACTACCTGTGCTAACTACCTGAACAATGCTAAGTATAAAGTCTGGCTATGGTCAAACTCTGTAAGTCACCAGCAGCTTCCTGGGTGATAAGGGCTGGTTATGGAATTACTAAAACCTAGGCTAACCCTAGGTTTGAATAATTCTTAGGTTTTAGTAATTCCATAACAATGGCTCTTTCTGAGGTCAGAGCAAGAAATGGGCTAATCAGGGCTGGGGATAACCCAGAGTGGTTTGTTCCTTTTTTGGTCATAAGAACGTTTTCCTCTTTAAAGAAAACAAATTTTTTTGTTCACATGGTTATAGGGATCGATATTAAAGTCTACAGCCATATCACACTGAATGTGCCCAATCTTGTCTGATCTCGGAAGCTGAGCAATATTGGATCTGGTTAGTACTTCAATGGAAGATTGATGTTTAGTTTATTAGAAATTTAAATCTATACAATACTTCAGGGATCTTTCCATTTAGTAGGAGCTCACAGTGGAGGTGGAGAAAGATTTCTCATGCAGAAATTAAGATATAAATGTAAAAAAGTTGTTTATTTTGTGCTTTAGAAGGACAGATAGAATGAGAGAGAAAGAAAGTGGGGGGAGAGAGCAGGGTGATGAAGTGGCACCCCAAAGAAAGAGAAGGGAGATGCCAGCAGCAAGGCCAAGTGATTTTCTGCTTTTATGGGAACAAAGGGAAAAATAGTAATTGTTGTGGAGTAATTAGCAGGCAGTGGAAAGACATAAAGTTGTCTGTCTTTCTTGTTTCTTCTGTTCCTAGAGACTTGGTTATCTCTGAAATATATTCAGGCTTATCACAGGGGATATGATTTTTCCCCTGAGATATGGTTTAGGGCAGGAAATGAAGGCCTAGAGTTTACCCCTCTGTGCTCTAGTCTGGGAGCTTTCTCAGGAACACCTTTAAAGTATAGAAACAAATTCTAAAGGCTGTGAGCTGGTGACTATGGAGAGAAAGATTTACATTTCCTTTCTTTTGACTCTTTTCACACGTATGTGAAAACAGTTCCAGCAGGTTGCCTGCCAGCAGAGAGAGCTCATAGGATTGATCTTTAGCTGTCATTAGAAAATTAGGGAATTGGCTATTTTCCTGTTTTTTCAGCAAGACCTTCCTTACAGTTTGAAAATCTGTGATATCTTTAGGCTCCTAAGGATCTCATAATGTCTATACTTGAACTATTCCATTTCTTTTTCTTTAAATTCTGATTGGTGTCAGAGTGCTGCTAAAACATAGCTGACATCATGATACTATCAAAATGTCTTCTCTGGTGTGTAATACACAATAAGGTCCATTATTAACAGCTGTAGAGCTTCTAGAATAACTGTCATCATAATTAACCCACACAATCATCAGATTTGTCTTCAAAAAACCTCAGAGGCCAGGGAAAGAGACAAGATGGTGGACAAGAAACACCTGTGGCCAGAGTGTCTCTGCAAGAAGGACAGATTTTAGATGAATGTGAAAAAAAAAAATAGAGAATCATAGATCGGATGAATGTCAGAAGGAAGGGTCCCTGAACTTGCAGGAGACTCCACAGGATGAGGTTGTGGAGCAGAACTGGAAGGAGAAAGGCATCGGCAGGTCCCGAGCTACCGGAGACACCTGCTGCCACCAGCACAGAGATGACTGCCGTCAGTGAATAGTGAGCCTCTTGTGGACAGGGTACCGGGCTCCCAACTTCCTTGAGCCATGACCTTCCTCACAGACTGCAGCCAAGCAGCAGGCGCCATATTGCTTCATTCTCCCCTTTTCCTCTCCTACCTGCTGTTGAGAGAGACAATTTAGCCACAATCAGAAACCTCCATAGGGAATGGGACCCTTTCATTTGGGGCTCTGCAGCAGATTGAGGGGTACTCGAACTGTGAGCTCCCTATACACAAGACCTCCCTGGTAGTGCTTGCCTGGTGACCCCAGTAGAGCAGACAAACCCTGAGAGAGACATTGATCCAGCTTGGGCACCCCTTGGGTGACTTGAGACCAGCATTCTTCTCCCTGGCAAGGTCACTGATTCATCTCCAGTGCCCAGGGGACAGGCCTGCAGGCCAGATCCCATTCAACCAGGTCTCAATTGAATTGCCCAGGGGCACAGAAGGAATATTTGTGAACTAGTCTGCTGAGGTGTGTGTGTGAAAATTTATATCCACAAATGTCGACATCTGAAAGACAGATCACAAATCAACAATCTAATGAATTGTCTCAAAGAACAGGAAAAGGATGAGCAAACCAAGCCCAAACCAGCAGAAGAAAAAAAATAACAAAGATCAGAGCAGAACTAAATGAAATCAATAAAAAAAAAATCTATACGGAAGATAAATAAAACAAAAAGAAGTCATTCATTCACAAAATAAACAAAATTGACATGCCTCTTGCTACATTAATGAGAAACAGAAAAGAAAGGACTCAAGCTCAATCAGGAGTGAAAAAGGAGAAATTACAAATGATACCACGGATACAAAATATCATCTATGAATACTATAAAAACCTCTATGCATAGAAATGTGAAAATGTGGAGGAAATGGACAAACTCTTAGGAACACACAGCCTCCCTAGGCTCAATCAGGAAGAAAAAGAATTTCTGAACAGACCCATATCAAGTACTGAAATTGAAGCAGCAATAAAAAACCATCCTCAAAAGAAAATCCCAGACCAGATGGTTTCACACCCAAATTTTGACTCTGGGTGTGGAGGTTCATTCATGCCTGTAATCCTCATACTCTGGGAGGCTGAGGTGGGAGGTTATCTTGAGGTGGGAAGTTCAAGACCAGCCTGAGCAAGAACAAGACCCAGTCTCTACTAAAATTAGAAAAAAAATTACCTGGGCAATTAAAAATAGAAACAAACAAAGAAAAAATTAGTCAGGCATGATAGTGAGTGCCTATAGTCCCAGCTACTCAGGAGGCTGAGGCAGGAGGATCACTGGAACCCAGGAGTTTGAGGTTGCTGTGAGCTAGGCTGACGTCAGGGCACTCCTCTAGCCCGGGCAAAAAGTGTGACTGTGTCTCAAAAAAAAAAAAAAAAAAAAATGAAAAAAAGAAAAAGAAAAAAAAAACCACAATAAATGTTGATGAAGATACAGAGAAATTGGAACTCTTGTGCACTGGTGGAGGGAATGTACGATGGCGTCACTGCTATTCAAAATAGTATAGTGGTTCCTCAGAAAATTGAAAATTGAAGAGAATTACTATGAAACCCAGCAATCCCAACCTCTGGGTGTATTACCCAAAGGTATTCAAAGCACAATCTCAAAGAGGTATCTGTCTACTCAGGGTCATAGCAGTGGTGTTCACAAGAGATGAAAGGTGGAAGAAATCCAGGTGTTCACCAGTGATGAGTGGATACACCAAATGTGATCTATCCATACAGTGGAGTGTTATTCAGCCTTAAAAATGAAGGAGATTCTGTCGCATGCTACCACATGGATGAAGCTGGAGGACATTGTACTGAGTGAATAAGCCAGTCACCAAAGGTAAATACTGTTAAATTCCACTTATATGAGGTACCCAGAGTAGTCAAATTCATGGAGACAGGAAGTAGAAGTGTGGTTGCATGGGGGCCATGGGAATTAGGGACTTAATGCTTACTGGGGACAGAGTTTCAGTTCACGGGATGAGTTGCATAGGTAAATGGTGGGGATGCTTGTACAACAGTGCGACTCGACTTCCCGCCATTGAACTGGGGATGTAAAAGTGCAAGGCTGGGAGGTTTTTTGTTATGTGTATTTCATCATAGTCAACATAAATAAGGTTTTAAAAATTTAATGAAAACATTGATAGAAAATAAAGGTGGGGATGTAGGGCAACGGTTAATAGCAATTTTAATTGATGGAACCACTTTGAGAAAGATATTTGGCAGTAACAATGCATGCCCCATGGCCTAGGAATCTCACCTTAAGGGACACACCCAAGAGATGTGCCTAAGTGTGTCCTCAAAAAAGGAAGGTACACAGATATTCTTAGCAGTCCTGTGGATCAGGACCCCAAACTGGAAGCAACCGAAGTGTGCACAGTAGCATGGGTAAATCTATTGCTCTGTATTCACACAACGGCATAATATATAGAAAAGTGGATAAAGGATGTACAATGTGCAACAAATGAGGAATCTCATGAACTATATTGAGCTGATGAAGCCAATACAGAGAGTTTATGCTCAGTGATTCCCTTTATAGAAACTATAGCATCAAGCAAAATTGAGCTGTGCTGGGAGAAGTCAGGGTTGTGGTTTCCTTGGAGCAGGGGCTAGATATCAGATGGGTCTCCAAGAGACTCTGTGGTGCCAATCATCTGTTTCTTGATCTGGGTACAGGATACAGTATGTGTTCACTGTGTGGGAAAGAATCATTGTAAATTATATATCTGTGTGAATTATACTGAAATTAAAACTTTTTAATTTAAAAACATCAGATTACATATCAAACCCCAGATGAAAGAGGGACCTTCAGACTGTTGTGCCTTCCCCAGCAAAAGCAAGATCACAGCGACCACGTGCTGCCCTTTGTGTGGAGAGGCTGCCACCGGGCTCTAAGCAGTAAACCCACATCAAGGTGAGAGCTGAAGCCCAGGACTCCACCACGCTCCTGGTGGGCTACAAACATGGCCATGGCCACCTGAGTGCCAGGATCACCATCACTGCCTACCTGTCCCTCAAGGTGAGCCGGGAGCCCTGCCCTTCACCATGCACCCCGCCCCCTCCTTGCCTGATGGGAATTTCTCACGTGCTCTAACAAATCTGTATGAAACCCCAATTGTTCAGAATAGCTTTCGGGATAACTCCATCGGCCTGTGAAAGCAGGAATCGATGTAGAAGAAGCAGAGTCCCCCGATGGGGGACAGTGGTTGCTGACATCCGTATGATCACACGAGACAGTGCTTGGAAGGCTTGGCAGGGTGCTGACCTGCCAGGATCTCCTGAAGACGGCAGGGGTGTGGGCTCCCAAGGCTTCAAAATGTTTCCAATGGGGGTCAGAACAGAGGGGCGCTTCTGGTCCACTCCAGAGTTACCCTTCGGGATCCTTACAATCCCCAGAATTGGTACATCGGTCTTTGGTGTGTTAGAGTCTGGGGCCTGCCAAGACCTGGGTTCAGGGTGGATTCTGCCACTTGCCTGATGTCTGCGAATCCCTCGTCCCACGTGAGGAGGGAGGCGGTTGTGGCATGCACACGTGGAGTGTTCGGCCTCGGATTCCACTCTGGCCTCCCGAGGCTCAGTCCAGGTCTGACACGCAGCAGCTCTGTACTCTGCTCATTTCATTTTTCCGGCCTCCCATTCCCTGCCTGTAAAATGGGGGAGACAGCTCCTACCCCGTAGGGTTGTGCTGAGGATGAGCTGGGCTAATAAAAGGAATGGGCTGGAAAACAGCCTGGGAAGGAGTGAGTGCTCAGTAAGGGTTAGTTAGTAAAACATGAGAATAAAAAGGAGTGGGCCTTCCTCCGAGGGTGGTTGTGAAGGCTTCAGAAAAGGCCTGCCACACAGTAGGCTAGGGACTGCACTTGTTACTCACTGTTTGAATCCTGCGTCATCCACAAGAGGCCCAGAGAGGGTACGCTGGTGGGGAGTTCCTGCTGCCAGGGGAGCCCCCATCCTCCCAGCCTGGGCCGGGCAGCCCTTGCATTTCCCTGCCACCCAGAGTCAACCTCACAGACAGTGCTGGTCCCCATGGTTTGTAATGTTTTTTCTCCCTCTCTCCCATTAGAAGCAAGCTCAATGACCTTAGGACCTTCTATGTCTGCCCCTCTAGCCCTGGGCATAGTGCCCGGCACAGAGCAGACACCAACCAAGGGGGTTTTGTTTAGAATGAACGGGTGAGGAAATGTGTTCAAGGTCACCCAGCCAGGGCTGACACCAAGGCCTCCTGACCTCCAGAGCAAACACAGCAACACTTGCAGGCATCTGCTGGTGACCAGGGCCCAGCCTTGCCCCTCCTGCTCCACCCTTCCAGTTATGCAGCACATATCTATGCACTGGGAAGCCCTTGGCTGGAGCTGGGGGCCTCCTGGCCTCCTGGCTGGGCCTAGACACCCCGACAGGATCCCTCCAGGGCCTTTGCACTCATGCTCTGCATCCTGGGGGCTCCTTGTCCCTGGTGTGGCTCAGGTGTTCCTCAGCTTGAGGTCTCTGCTCCCTGAGAGCTGCTCTCTCTCTCAGACCCCTCCTTGCCCATGGCACCCACACTGCTCCTGGCACCTTTCTGTCCTTCACTCACTCTTCCCTGAGAGCAGTCACCGCACTCCCAGTGCCTTGCACGTGCCTGGTGTAGAGTGGGTGCTCAAATACTCTGACTGTGGGTGGGCATATCTGGGCCAGGGCTGGCAGTCTCCCTTGAATGACACGTGCCAGGAAACAGAGCCAGGCAGTATGCCTCCCAAGACAGTGAGGGCTGTCCTTGTCCTCTTGGGAGCCAGCCATGAAGACTCTTCCCCTGGGACCCTCCACCATGTCTGGCCTGCCCAACGTCTTTCTCATTTTCCCATCCCCATCCACTCCCCTATCCAATCCCCCAATGCAGTATCTACCACATGCTCCAAAGCCAGCCATCTGTTGTCAGGTCCTGAGGGTTGGAGGTGTGTGTGAGTCACCCGTGCTGTGGGGCCCGGCAGGGTGGGGTTTGGCTGGCATCTGAGCAGGACTGTTGCTCACTCACCTCTGTCTGGACCGGAGGAGCCGGCAACTCACTCCACCTTGGTTGAGGGAGGCCTCAAAGGGGATGTGGCTATTAAGCTGGGCTCAGGAGAACCCTGATTTTATCAGGGTTCGTGTCCCAGACATAATAAGTGGCCAGGAGCTGGGGCTTCTAGGCCTACTCTTCCCCAAGGGCGGCCTGTGAGCAGGCGTGGTGTTGGCCTGCAGCTGGCCATGGCCTCCCGGATCTAATGATGTTGGCTTTGCCCCTTCAGCACGACCCTCCCATGCCCGTGTCTGCTTCCATGGAGCTCATCCTGGTGGAGGATATCAGAGTGAGTCCAGAAGAGGTGACCCTCTACAACCACGTGGCATCCAGGTAAGGCCTTTGCCCTGCCACGGCCCTGCTACACGGTGAGATGTACCGAGGGGTCTTTTGCCCTCCAACATGCAGCCTGACCCCTCCCTGCCTCTCCCTCCTGCAGCTGGAGTGGCACAGCAGAGGAGGCTCCGGATACTTCTTCCTCAACACGAGCACTGCAGAGGTACTCAAGGTGGCCTACCAGCAGGCCAGGGGATCGCCTTGGTGAGTTGGCTTTAGTTCTTCATCCAGGCCACTGTGTGGTTAGTGGATTGACTATTTGAAAAGCTGGCACTTAAGCGGAATCTTTAGATTCTCTGATTCATTCAGCAACTTTAGTCATTGCCATGCTACCTTTGTGGGCTTTAGTACATACATATCCACAAAGTACTCATGCTATTAGTTACCTAATGGTTTCCTTTAAATCAATCTTTTAATTAAGACTAAAATGTTATTTCATATAGAGCATTATAACAATCATAAAGAAGATTGTTTTAAGAGAATGCATCAGCTTTTTCTATTAATATTTTCCCCATGTTTCTTTCTTGACCCTCTCCCTATCCTTGCAAGTATCAATTTAGCTAGGCCCATGGCATGGAAATTAGCATTCTGCCGTATTCAATTGTGTTATGCTAGCATTTCATGTGTTTCCAAGCTTGCAATATAGGCTAGGTGATTATGTTTAAGCAGTCACTTATACTTTATCCATTGTATTTTTGTAGAGCATGTGGGCTGTCTAAAGCATTTTGTTTTTCTAAAAATTATTACAAGGCATACAATAAAAAAAAGTAAAAACAAACAAATGCCAATATCCTACATGTCTGCATATTTGCAGGATGGATTACTAGGCAATCATGAAAATTGAACTTACTTTTAAAGGAAGATCTTACCACTGAATGTGTAGTAAAACCACTGCTGTAAGTCATAAATACCAAGGCTCAGCACTGACCTCCACATGTATGATTTCAGTATAAAATTAGAGATGGGGACCAGGCTGGAGGACTATCCGAGGGAAAGAGTCTATGCTGCACTGCAACCTGCACAAAGGTGCTTCATGATTTTCATGTATGAAAACACCATGTGTAACCACAATCCAGATCAAATTATTGAACATTTTCAGCACCAGAGGAGATTCTAGCATTCTAGCATGCTTCCTCCTAGCCACAACCTCCCCACACCCAAAAGTAATAATGATGCTGATTTCTACCCTCAGGGATTAGCTATGCCCGTTCCTAAACTCTGTGTAAGTGGAACAATACAACACCTACCTTCTTTTATCTTTTCTGTGTGTGACTCACCCTTGTTATTACACACAGCTGTAGTTTGTTCTGTTTCATTGCTGTGCAGTGTTCCATTCCTTGCAAATGTTACCATTGATGTTTCCATTCCTTTGCTTTGGTCATTACACAGTATGTGATTCTGTAGGTATGTGTACTTCTTTAAACTGTATTTATTTAGAGCAGTTGTAGGTTCACAGCAAAACTGAGCTGTGTGAAAGTCCAGAGTTCCCATATTCCCCCCGCCCCCACAAACACACAGCCTCCTCCACTAGGAACATCTCCCAGCAGAGGGGTGCATTTGTTACACCCACTGAACCTGCACTGCTACATCCCTGTCAGCCAAACTGACTCCTTTAGCATCAGGGAATGCTCTTTCCTAAATATCCCTGTAACTTTTCTTGCTCTGAACTCTGCTATGATCCCTGCTTTTTTTTTTTCTCCATCATCTCTAATCAGCAGGTCTTCCCATGCACACCACGTTCTTCTTCTTCTTTTTTTTTTTAATTTTAGTGTATTATGGGGGTACAAGTCTTAAGGTTACATATATTGCCCATGCCCCCCTGCCCCCTCGAGTAAGAGCTTCAAGCATGTCCATCCTCCAAATGTTGCACATCTTACTCATTGTGGTTGTATATACCCATCCCATCCTCCCCTCCCACCCTCCCGACACCCGATAAATGTTACTCCTATATGTCCACTGAGGTGTTGATCTGTTAATACCAATTTGCTGGTGAGTACATGTGG